CCCAAGCATCTTCAACATGCTTTTTAAAAGAAAATTGTTATTTATTTTAAAGAGTCAATCCTTAAAATTATACTTCAGGCGCACCTCCAATTTTGAAAAGCCAAACCCACACTATATAATTAAATGAATTCAAAACATTGCATTTTCAATGCTCCATATATTGACTTAACTATATAGTACTCTATACAAAGAAAATGAATGAATATAATAAAATAATTTGGAGAAAAGTTGGTAAAAATAAAAAATGGTGAAAAATAATAAATACATCTTGGGAGTAGTAAGATTAATAATTAAAGATAAATAAACTGTTACATTATTTCAAACTTTTTATCCCCTAAATTTATAAATGCTCTATAATATAAACTATACTCTTTAAGAACAAAAAATCTCTCAAAGATGCTCCAACTGCTCTATCTAGTCATGTTATCTATCATATGTCATGATCAATTTGTCCTCATTTATGAGCTTTCGCGCCTAACTCCTATATCATGTAGAATAATGCTATTTGTACCTTTGGCTTTATGCTCTGCATTAAACGCTGACGTGTAATGTAAGTTTGGAAAAAAAAAAACATAATAATGCATCTAACAAGCAGGTTTCATTCAAACTTGATAAAAAAACAGAAGAAATAATATATTCGAAAAAATTGAAACCTGCCTCTCATTTTCGTTGGCCGCCCAAACCAAAGGTGAGACCCCTCTATCATCCGTCCATATTCTGTCAAGACTGCATGTTATTGGACAATTGACATGAGCTGAATTCGGAAACAAACAATCACCAAGAAGCTTCATTGATTCGAAGATATGACAAAAAAAGGTATTTTCCTTTCTCATTTTAATGTAAAAATGGTAGTAAAAATGGAGTTGACGACAAATTGCAAACTAGAAATTTGTAAATCTATTGTGAATATGGTAAAAATCTTTAAATTCATTTTGAATCTACTGGTTAATGGAAAATTCATGGGGTTTTGTTCGAGATCTATTGGCCTTGTGCTGATCCTTTCTTTTAGTGGTCGTGTATTAATGGGGGAGGTGGTTTAGTTGAGCTTTATAAATAAGTGATCGAATTATCTTGTAACAATTCTGTAGAATAAGTGATTATCTTGTTTGAATTAAAAATTAGTTATGCAAATTAGTTTTAACATTCTTTAATTGATTGTTTATTGCAGCAAATAAAATTTCAAAAGAGGTGGATGAACATGTTTTATTAGCATTCGATAATGAGAACATCTTGGATAGTGTGAACTTAGTGGATGATGAATTGGTAGGAGTAGATGGTATAATCGTGCTTGAGGTGGGAATGAAGTTCAACAATGAAAAAGAAATGTTTGATTTTTACAAAAGATATGCATACAATGTAGGCTTTCCAGTTAGGAAAAGAAATTCGCAAAAGGAAGATGATGGAGTTGTCAGATATGCTGTGTTCACATATAGCTGTGAAGGATGGAAAAGTCGTAATACAAACAGTTCTTTGAAGCCACAAGCTACCATTTATATAGGTTACATAGCCAAACTTACCACTTCTACAAATGCATATGGAATATGGAGAATTAACACAGTCAATCTCATTCAGAATCATAAAGCAAGTCTTTCAAAGTCAAGATTGTACCGTTGCAATCGAGAATTGAGTGCCCATATTAAACGACGACTTGAAGTGAACGATATTGTAGGGATTCCATTGCACAAAAGTTACAATTTTGCAGTCGTAGAAGTAGGGGGCATGAGAATATGACTTGTATAGAAAATGATTGTTGAAACTATGTTGAACAAGTGAGGCGGTTAAGACTTGAAAAAGGAGATACCGTAACAATACAAGCCTACTTTTCGAACATGCAAACAAGGTGCTCAGGTTTTTACTTTAGTAAAGATTTAGACGAAGACTTGATGGTGAGGAATTTTTTTGGGTTGATAATAGGAGTGGGAAAGCATATAAGAAGTTCGACGATATTGTAATATTTGATACGATGTACCTAATTAATAAGTATGACATGTCATATGCACCTTTTGTTGGAGTTAATTATCACGAACAATCGACATTACTCGATTGTGATTTGTTGTCGAATGAGAGTTCATAAACTTTTGTGCCACTTCTTAGGACTTAGTTTCACTGTATGCATGGCCAAGCTTCCAAGGGAATTATTACCGATCAGGACAAGATCATGCAAAATACAATTCAGATCTTGTTTTCAACATTGGGCATAGTCAGTATTTGTAGCAAATATTAAAGAAGTTGTTAGAAAAATTTGGATAACACATTGATAAGGATGCAATTTTTTCTATTATACACGTATTGGTGTACAATTCTCAAACTAGTAAAGAATTTGAAGAAGGTGAGGAAGCGATAATCAATACATTTAACTTGCATGAAAATGATTGTTTATAAAAAAATGTATGCGAGTAGAGACTGTTGAGTACCATGTTATTTAAAAAACACTTTTCTGGGCGAGAATGTCAATAACTCAACACAGAGAGAGCATGAATGAGTTTTTCGATGGGTACATGCATTCAGAGACATCGCTAAAACAATTTGCCGAACAATACGAGCAAGCATTGAGAAATAAGGTAGGGAAGGAGTTTCATGCAGATTTCAAGTTGTTCCTGCAAATGGTATAATGTGCAACTAAGTACGAGATGAAAAAGCAATTTCAACTATTTTATACCATCCTGAAATTCAAGGAAGTTCAAGATGAGTTCATTGAGAATGTTTATTGTGACCTCATGTCTGCTTCAAAGGGATTTTCTTGGACGACGTACAAGGTATGGAAAAATGTCATACGTGATGAGCAGGTTGACAAGAAAACTTTTTTTTGTCACATTTTAGAAATATAAATGTAAAATTGGTTTTAGCTACCACTTATTTGAGTTTTAAGGAATAATTTACAAGGCATGCAATCGCTATGCTAATCCGTAATAACGTCAAGTCACTGTCGGAGACTTATATATTATGAAGATGGAGAAAAGATGTCGGTAGAGCTCATATGCGACCTACGATGGCTTAAATAGCACTCTTGGACAGTTAAGATATGACATAATATGTCAATCATTTGCTTCACTAGCGAACATGAATGCAGATGATGGCGATCAGACCCGGGTGATAATGGAGTGGATAGAATGCAAAAAACTATAGATCGAGTTGTGAAGGTAATGACATGTCGTAGCAAATTGTCCAGATAGCTTCTAAAGGTGGAGCATCACAAGATTTTGGTAGGGAAAGCATACAGGATCCAATATGTTCGAAAAGAAAAGGCACCCCAAGAAACTTTGAAGGAAATGTCCTTTGGAATCGAGTTCCAGTAAGGTAAAGATATGTGTCAAAACTATTATGCTAGCAAATTCGAGTTCACCAAAGGAAGGAGATTGCTAGTACGCCCATGTCAATTGGGAGACGGTGTACCGATTGTTCAAGCACACCATCAAGCTCAATACTACATGCCTCCATGATGTTATATTCACAACTCTTACTGGTTCATATAATAAAGTTGTTCCATATATTTGATTGACACGTTTTTACTTACATTTTTATTTGATGTAGAGTGATAGGAATAGTCATGTGCTTACACGACACTTACAGTTTCCCAATTTCATCCCTCCAGCTTCAACAAATGTTATATTCAATGGTAAAGGTAATGACGTGTTAAACATACGTAATTTAGATTCCTCAATCTCTCTAGTTTGTATATGAACTTTTATATTTTACAGTAGGAAATGCAATGCCGTACTATTATCTAAATGTACCTAATCATCATAGCGCAAGATTGTGACATAGGATGAAGACGATTACAGGACTATATATGTTATTAGTATGCAATTGTTTTTACTGCAACCATAAAATAAGTTGTAAGTAAAAATAATGGCTTGTAGTTTATTTATTCAAGTTAACGGTAATGGTAATTGATTCACCGCTTGATTCTCTTTGTACGACCCAATCCCAGTATCTATGGTTAGCGTTGCAGCAATTGAACAAATTTTCCTTGTTCTTCATTTTCCTTTCAACCTCAAATCACTTCACAAAGCCATGTTTACACCAAGGGCATCGCCGTTTGTTTGGGCAATCCGCAAAGAAGTACCTCTTCTCTATATAGCTATGATAGGCTCCGGAGTTCTTTCATGTGATTCTAACTACCGTAGGTGGTAAGAATAGTATTCCATAATATAACTAGGAAAATGGCCCAAAAATCCATCAATCAACCAAGTCGAAAAAACCAAATCATTTTGTATAGTACTT